ACCTTAATCCGCACGCAAGGATCGCCACTCGAGTCTCACCTACTGCACCACAAAGCTTCTCCCTCTTCTTTCCACACAGACTTGTGGTCGATTTTTTCAAAAATGAAGAGAGATTCGAGTTGAGATCCATGCGTACGGAACAAGGTATTACATGCCGACCTCCCTCCTCGAATGGACAAATGCTTCAGAGAAGGGAGGTTGTAGGTCGTGACACCACCTGATAAGGTAGGAGATGACCAAAAATCAAGTATTTCAAGGCGCATAAGCTCGATAGTATCTGGTTGTACTATCTCATTCCTCAAGGTGAGGGATACAAGATTGGGAAATTTCTTCTGGATCCCGTTCCATATACGTGTGCCTTCAGATGGACGGTAATTGACACTGAGGGAGAGGCATTGCAACCTTGGTAGTTGCAGTCCACCTTCCAGGAGGAATTGAACAGGACTCTCCTCCTCCACAATCCACCCCTCAGAGAACTCTAAGGTAGTGAGTGAAGAAGTAACATCCGGAAGGTTTTCAAGTTGGTGCAGGAATATTGCGCTTTCGGCATCCGACCAATCCATGAAGATGCTCGTGACCCCTTCCAGAGACGAAAGTCTCCCATCCCATTTGGTTCGGAATGTCATGTGAGGGCATTGGTCGACGATTCGCATCCAGGTTCTACAAACCGATCGGACTCGAAACCAGATCCCTAGGTCCGTATTGCAAAGCCTGTAGAGGCGTGACTGATAGAGGGCCACGGTATCGGCAGTGCAGTGAAGATAAGGACGCTTGAGTGGTTCCAAAAGGATATCTAGAATGAGCACCCATATCTCGATGGGAAAGATGAGGGGCGCCTCTCGGAACAATGGCTGTGTTTCGGTAGGTTTCGAGTTGGTCTCCCGTCTTGGGGCGTGTATTCTCCAAGAATCTGATGCCAAAGGATTCGGACGCGATACCGCAGGGAGGGGATGGAACGATACTCGGCTCATATGTTCGGCGCGAATCCAGCGCCGCAAAATTCGTTCTCAGGGTAGTTGCCTACACCCACTATCACTTGGGATGGCTCTATGAGATTTGGTCTTCAATATATATGTGTTAAAATGCTCAATGAGCGATTTCGAGAGTCGGTTGATAGCGCCAAACTTTGTTGGCTTCCTAAGCGCCAACTCGGGGTCAGTTTTGAGAGTAGTGAAAGCCAAAGGACAACATACAACAAATTAAGCGTCAAAATAGTTTCAACTTTCGATAAATGTAGCGGAATGCTAGCGTTGATTGATGGTGTGGATGAGAGGTTCAGTGTCTCCAGTCGAGAAGAAGGCTGGGGGTGAAAACAGATCCCCGGTTCTAAGACGAGTTTTATAGCCTTCTATTTATTGTATTTGCTGTGTCATAAATGTATGCGGGTAAATTTGCAGTGCATGGTACAGTGATGGTTGACTCCAGGTTTATTGAATTGTTCGACTGGCTATATACATTGACTAGCAAGAGCGAGGCTTCAACCCCCGCTCCGCGGATTAGATTAGAAAGGCTTCATAATACCGGAGTTACTTCTCAGCGTGCGCTTTTCCAATGTTGGCAAGAGCATTCCTTTTATTACTCTCAAACTTGGGCCACTGCCTGTCAACCATAGTTATATGTTGGAAAATAGAAATGATATCCTGAAATGAGCTACACGACCCCAGAGCGTCATATCAATTCATCATAACAATCAGTCATTGTAGGCTATTCTAGGAAAGGTTACAAGGACGTAGCAAGGGTACTGCACCATTCAAGAAACCAAAAAATCAAACGCTAGATGAGAAAGTGGAGTTTGAGGTTGAGTCGTTCGGCGATTCGTGATAATTTCCTCGTCTTTTGTCTCGTTAGGTTCGGCAGACCGATAGACAGCTGATGGATGCGAGGAAAATGGACCAACGACCCTTGAATCGGCC